TTGCTAGTCACAACAACCAAATTCTTAATTACATTACTATAAACTCCATGTTAGGTTTATTGTATAATAGCGATGATGTATTCCCGACTACAAAACTACGGTGACACCATGACAGGCGCACCACGAGGGTACCACACGAGGGCGCCACATACCTGTATTAGGTTCTCATCCATGTAGCTGGAGAAATACTGCAGCAGCACGGTACGTTTCTGCAGCGATGTCGGCGTGTTAGAGGTCGTGTAAAGCTTTGGTTTATGACCAATGTCCTTAAAGTACACTTGGCTGAAACAGAAGCAAGACAAGGACATATAGCATGGAAACATTACACGCTACCATGGCAACCACAACCTTCCTTCATCCAGATTCTGTTATCAAGACTATATTACCATGATATCATGACAACCCCCCACCTGATCGACCATTACATAGATTACGTTACCATGACGATCGACCACTCACCTGCGGTTAGGAGCCATACTGATCTGCACTCCATCGTTGAACAGAACTCCGACACTTTTGTCTGACAGCTGAAACCCGAAGCCGTACTTGTTCGAATAGTCGACCCACTTGGTGATCCACAGTACAGAAGTACAAGGTCCGAGACTTGGCAGTGCTGGATTCGGCTCTGCACAGATTCCAAACAAACGTTACCATGGCTAAATGGTCTGCATTGCAGAAGACAGACGTGTTATCAAGGTTACATGGGTTCTTTGCAGGTGACGAACCAGACGTGCTTTAAACAATGATAAAAATGTAAGACAGATAAATCACTGATTTAAGTGAAGATGCTTTAACAGCTTAGTAATATGTTCTTACATAGATAACTATGATGTTTTCCTGAATAACGGCTTCTGTTGCGGCATTCCGCCAGTGTACGCATTTTCCTTTCAGTATCGCCCGCTAGGGGCGCTTATGTTTTTGTAAACAGTGCAAATGGCGGCGTGTTCGTGGCAATGTGAATCTTCCACGATTGAATAATATATATTAGACTGTTTCACGAGTACACACGTCTTCATTATTCAATGTGTTCAAATTATCGCTCGTGCTCATTACATTGCACTTCTCTGCTATGGAAATAATCATAGCATTGCATTTTTAGATATAACATTATAACAGTTACACCTGCACACTATACGTGAAATTACAGGTACTTTTATTCCTCGCATTTCTGAGAGCTGTTCTTGTGTTTGTAGGAGAACCGTTCACGTGTTTGTGAGAGAGCTGCTTGTGTTTGTGAAAGATGTGTGTTTGTGTTTGTGATAGAACTGTTTGTGTGTGTTTCTCGCAGGACTTACTTGACGGCATGTTGATGAGGCAGGTGTGAAGCATCTCATGGATGTCACCAGCACTGCAGGACGATGATGATGAAGAACTCACAGTGCTGCTGCTACACGTGCTGCCTGTGCGCCTGTGCTGCTGCTGCTCTTCCTGCTGCTGCTGCTGCTGCTGTTGCTGCTGTTGCTGCTGCTGTTGCTGCTGCTGCTGCTGCTGCTGGGCTTCTGAAACAATGAACAATAATCACCTTCAATCACCTCTGCCATCTTCCCTTTCTGGGATGAGTAGCTGACTCTGTATGCAGAGACATGCATTCCTGCAACGAATGATCATACTGGAAGGAGTAGCTGACTCTGTATGCAGAGATGAGCGCCCAGACTACTCATAACTCAAGTAAAAGAGTTACAGACTGTGATCATATTCTACTGGCTTCCTGCTATACTCCTCCAGAAATCTTCAACCATCTGCTGAGGCAACAGGTGTGAGTGTGAGTGTGAGTGTGTGAGTGAGTGAGTGAGTGAGTGAGTGAGTGAGTGAGTGAGTGAGTGAGTGAGTGAGTGAGTGAGTGTGAGTGAGTGGTCTCGGTCAGCAGGGGGCGCTACCGTGCTCGGTCAGCAGGGGGCGCTACTGTGCTCGGTCAGCAGGGGGCGCTACTGTGCTTGCCCAGCAAGGGAAACTGACATTGACGACAACTTACCTTTGGTATGTGTGGTGGTGGAATGGTTGTTGTTGCTAGGCAACGGCGACGCGGAAGCATCGCGGTTGTCATGACGCATCACATTGCTAACCGTCTGCCGCAGAACGTTGGTGATGACGGGAGAGAGATCGCGTACAGACTGTAGACAGCGACCGCTGCTGCTACCTTTCTCCTTCTGCTGAGAAGACTTCCCTGAGACCTGGAGGCACACAGCAGTCAGCGTCAGTCTAAGGCTATGATGTCGACATCAATGAGACAGGGTTCCACACAACGGGAAACAGAGCCTGAGACAGGCATGCAGACGTAGTTTGAGACACAGCCTGAGACAGAGCTAGAGAGAGAGGCATGGAAGGAGACAGAGGGATTGCAGTG